AAAAAATTAATTTTGTTTAAAAAAAAAAAAAAAAAAAAAAGGACACCATCATTGATAGAACGAAGGCACTGCGTCTAGATGACAAGCCCACTGAAGCTGTGCAGGTCCCAGAGCACCAGTGTCCCCAGTGGGTCATAGGATCGTCTTTGAATCCAGTGGAAAACACCACATTATTTTAGTTAGTTTTACAATGTCCTTGTATTGTACAATATAAACAATTGTATTGCATAACAATTATATGTGTCTAACAATTTTTTTCTATAGATATGTAAGCACATTAGCCCCTATTTTGTAGTCCATGTTTTTAGATAATCCTAGTAAGTATTAAAAAAAACCAAACCTGTGAGATAAATTACAGAATAATGCATTATAATCCTTTTTTTCTTTATTTATGATGAAGCATGTGCTTATGAGAGCAAGAGAGACAAAGAGGGGCACTCCCCTCCTCAGAGTCTGGTGGTGCTGAGATTCCCTTTCTTCTGCCCTCCTGCCCATTGGCTCTTGGGCACTCATCATGCCTGATGTGTTTCAGGCTGAGCAGGCCAGGGATTTGGACCCTGGTAGCCATGTGGGATCCAGCTTCTAGATCCTAATCCTAATGTCAGTGCTGTGGCATAAAGAAGCCAAAGTGAGGATTAGTGGAGGAGTTATCACCTGTACACGTTCACCTTTCTTTCACTTCTAGCTCATCCTAGATATCCACATTCCCTACCGAATTTACTCTGCATTTCCTCACAGGATTCTTGGAAGCTGGTACTACCTCAGGTCTTCACACTGTTTTTTTTCCTTCTAGTTGCAGGGAATAAGTTGTGCAGTTGTTTCCCTGGGGTTGACTGAGCTGCATTGCGTGAACCTGGGCTCCACCGCAGATGTGTCTACAATTAATTGGTTTAATGCCTTCCAACATGTCACTAGGGACTTAGAGGGTTTGTTTGGTTTGTTTTTCCTGCACATGTCTTGATACTGTGCCCAGCTAACTTTCAGGCTCCTTTGCTGTACTCAGATTGCTGACTTCTGTTTCACAAAGGACAGACTTACTACATCCAAAAACCCAAACCCCTCTCCCTGGATTTGATCTGAGCTTGGAAATGGGATTTGGCTTAAGGTGTAGGAGTTCATTTTGTTCTCATCCTTGTACATCTTATTTACCTCAGTGGAAAACATTATTTTTCAAGGTGACCCAAAAGCATCCAAAACTGGGTCTCCAAGAATTATAGCATGTGGCCTCTCATGAAATGCCCAACCTCAGTCTTTTTAAAGGTAAAAATATCAGGATTATATAGTCAGTAAAAACAATGAACTTGAATTAAGTGTTCTAAGATCTGACACTTGGGGTGAGTGGAAAATGCAAGTCATAACAGGAAGTATATGATTCCACTTAAATACTGACACGTACTTGTCTGCAGTAGGCAAAGGTCTGGAGTTGATGCACACAGGGGTTAACTGGAGAGTGGGGTTGTGATGTGTAGAAAGGGTCAAGAGGGCTTGCACTTTTTCCTTTACTCATTTCTGAATCCTCCAGGTTTTTCACCAAGTGTGTAGTTAAACTAAATTCTTAAAAATGAATGAGAAGACATCACACAGTAGTCACCAAGAATCCTCATCAATCTTTACTACATTTAAAGTCTGGAAACTGCTACATTCTCAGTTTGGTTCCATGAAGGATTCAATTCCTTCACCCCACATTTCTTAGGCATCAGGCTGTGTGCTGGGCATGGAAGCTACCGAGATGAATAATTCCTGGTCCATGACAAAATCTATTCCAGAACACAAGTAAGGGGAACAGGGGACTCAAGAAAAAAAAAAAAAAAAAAAAAAAAAAAGAAAAGAAAAGAAAAAGAGAGACACCGTCATTGATAGGGATACTTGACTTATAATTGGCCTTCTGCAGGTTCGTCTCTCATCTCTTGGCAGTGCAATAGGCAGGCGTCATCCTTTCATTGTTAAACGCCAAATTTAGCTCTAAGACTCCAGTGAATACTGCCATGTGAGAGGTGTCCTTGAGGAAAGAGAGTCCCCTGAACATACCCACCAGAGTACCTAGAATAGATTTTGCAGCGGCACACAGATCCTGTCTTGTCTCTACAGAGTAATGAAGATTCTGGGACAGCAAAGGGGCAGTTGGTGACTTTGAACCAAATTTTATCTTTCAACTGAATCCAGGGAAATAATCTGTAAGAGTGGCAGACGGTGCAAAGTGCTATTTTGAACACTAGATTGTGCTTTATTTTTTTCCGCCCAACTTCACGTTTCCATGCACCAAAATGTTGATGCTATAAATATTGGATGCCACGCTTACCTGACACGCTTCTTCCATCCTTTTCGCAGTCAGCCCCCCGCGCGCACGCGCTCTGCCCTCGGACCGCTCGGGCGCCTCCGGTCTTCGGACGACTCCGGCGGGCGGGGCGGCGAGCGAGGGCTCAGGCCACGTGACCGGCGCCAACATGGCGGCGCCCAGCGGCGTCCACCTGCTCGTCCGCAGAGGTAAGCGCCTGGAGGACAGCTTCGCCAGGCTTTCAAGTGGATCACTAGTTACGCGCCCGGGTTCAAAGGAACTCACACCCGCGCTCAGACTTCTCGGCGCACACGAATGTACTTGCAGTCCTGCGGACTCACTCAGGCACACACGATGACACTTTCACACGCCGCAGGAACGCACATTTGTTCACTCGTCACTCGCCTGGGCCACGTTGCTGCGTGGCATCTATGCACAGTTCTTGAGATTTACTGGCCATTGCCTGCAGGTCTTTCCGCACACTTCAGTTATGTAATATCATTAATATAACAAACGTGCGTTCTGGCGGGTGAGACGACACCTATGGTGATTCCAAAATGTGCCCGGATACCTAGTTGCCGGTTCTAGATTTATTCTGTTAGCATGTCTTTTGTAGCTTGCCAGATATGATTAATTATTCTCTTCCAGTGACTTAAAGTTAAAAAAGTTTAATTCTAAATACAATAGATGTTAGTCTGCGTGAATGCTGGAATTTCAGTAAACACACACATGCTTTTTACAGCTGATTTACAGAAATCTTCGTTGGATTTGAACTGAGTTCTGCATCTTTGTTGGAAAGAACCAGGAAGTTGTTTCAAAGGGGAGGAGAACTAACATTTTGAGGTGCTTATTTAAGCGTCAGCTATGTAGGAACAATCCTGGGTAAATATTTTTGCAATAATACCTACCATTTATTAAGTGCCTTTTAAGCACATGTATGCTGTGTTAAGAACCTTACAAATGCTAGATACCTTTTTTTTTTTTTTAATTGTCAGAAAGTATGTGCACTCATCAGGGAGAGAAAGAGAGAGACAATGAAAAGGCACACCCAAGTGGGTTGTAGTCATACCTCTCTGTCCCGTCTCTATTTCTTATTCTGTCAGGATTTGGTGCATGCATGTACATGTACCTCCTGTTTTACCGGTCAGTGGTGGGGGATCCGTCACCTTTAACCAAGCTACAGGGCTGACTCAAGAGAAAGAGGTGTTAAAATAAGAAGTTTGGTAGGCAGGTGGACTTGAGTATTTCAGAATTAGTGGGAATAAAACCAGAGGAAGATTTGAGGTGAGGAATGTATAAGGGGAAGTTGATCAGGAGGCTTATTGGACTAAGGAGGTTTAGCATGAAAGTGCTGCGTTGTGAAGAGAGCCAATTTACATCTCTCGAGATTTAGGTTCCTGTCTGTACTCGTTGTACTAAGCAAGTTACTCTTCTATACCCTCTTTGTACAAAAAATAATGGCATTTAGGCTTCATTTTTGTGAGAATAGTCTGGAGAGATAGTCAAAGTACAAGGGAGAAAAAAACTAACAAATTATTTGTATCTATGTATACACATGAATGTATATGTGTATATCGTATTGTGTGTGCATGTGTGTAGAAATATAAATACTCTTCAATTTACAATGGGGTTATATCCCAATAAATTCACTATAAATTGAACATATTGTAAGTTGAAATTGCATTTTGACTACTAGTTCAAAGTTCGATTACTAGTTCGAAGTTCGATTTCTACTGAATGCATATTGCTTTCCCACCATTGTAAAGTTGAATAATGGTAAATCAAGCCATCCTAGGTCTCCTTGCATATTACAGAAATAACATACTAGTTAGTCCCTTCCTCCCCCTCTCTCTCCCTTCCTTTGTCCATTCCTCCCTCTTTCTCTTTCTTCCTCCCTCTCTTCCTCCCTGCCTTTTTCCCTTTCTCTCTCTTTCTTTTTGGTCACTTAGGATTTTGACAAATGGCAGTTTACACAGTCCTAGGGAAAGTTTCTATAAGGAAGCCAGACCAGATTGTTTGTTCCTGTAACTCATTCCACTTAACCCGAAGTGCAACAACCAAGAGGAAGATTTTCTGATTAGAGTGGGATGGGAAAAGTGTCACCAGAAAAAGATTTTAGTAATTGGGGAATGGGCCCCTTCCTGGACTATCCATAACTATTTTTTGTTCATTTTTGTTTGTTTGTTTGTTTGTTTTTTAGTTTTTGCCATAGAACATATGCGCTTTCCTGAGAAACAAAGAGAGAAAGTGAGAAATCACTCCCCCTGGGGGAATGGCCTCCCTGCAATCCCTTGTCCTTCATTCTCCTCTCAGGATTTTGAGCAGGCAGGTCTACATGCCCAGCGTGATTTTTAAACCACCAGGTCCAGGGCTTGAACTGCATTCCACCAGGTGGGAGTCCAGTGCCTTAAGCACCATGCTACCTTCTGGCCCCTCCATAACTAGTTTTAAGTTGCAGATAAGTTTTCCTGGTATCTGATCCCCAGATCTGGAATTGAAAATAAAGTAATAAATTCATGAAGATTCCTCTCTCCATTCTTTTCCTACCCTTAACCATCTAGATTGATATAAATCAATCAACTCTAAGTCTTTATGTACCAGTCTTTATGATCAGATCTTCATGCATCTTTCTCTCCTAAAGTGTGGGAAGACTTTTAAAAAGTTTGAAGCAAGTCATAAGATTTCTGTCATAACTCACTGTGGTTTTAATCACAGTATACCTTAAATACAACAGTTACCTAGCTCCTCTCACTGTGCTGCTCCTACTAGGTTGTTAATTTTTTTAAAGAATAATTTTATTTAACTTAATTAATTAATTAATTTGTTTGTTTAATTTTACCAGAGGGCGACTGAGCAAGAGAGCAAGAGAGACAAAGTGAGAAAGCAAGCCCAGGTCCAGGACTCAAACTGCAATCAGCCATGTGGGAGTCCAGTGCCCTTAACCACCACACAATCTGCCAGCCCCATAGATTGTTAATTCTTGTTGAACAGCAGCTGTGTCTTCTATAGCCTACATATGGCTTATGAGCTATGACTTTGTATCTTTGTCTTAATAAGTACAGTACCTGGTTTGGGGGCCAGCAGTTAGCGTAATGGCTATGTCGCTGGACTCCCACTTAGTCGACCGTGGTTCGCGTCCCAGACCCGGTGGCTTAAAACTCACGCCATGTGTGTGTGTGCCCAAGATCCCGAGAGGAGAATGGAGGAGAAGGGATTGCAGCGTGACCATCCCCCTGAGGGGTGATTTCTCGCTTTCTGTCTCTCTGTCTGGTGAGTGCACGTGCCCTATAGCGAAAATCTCTCAAAACAAAACAAAACAAAACAAAATAAGTATAGTACCTGGCTCAGAGTTAAATGCATTAAAAGTATCCTGAGGAGCTGGCAGGTGGCATGGTGGTTGGGGCACTGGACATTCACATAAGTGACGACAGTCCCAGTCCTGGACCTAGCGACTTGCTTTCTTACTCCGCCCACCTCACTCTGTCTCTGTGTTGTCAAATTAAAACAAGTAAATAAAGTTAAAATAACTCTTTGAAAAGAAATTGAATTGTACATGTGACAGAGTAGATAATATCTTGTGGAGATTGTATTGTTTTTCTTTAAAATATGCTGAGCGTTATTCTGGCAGGCAGGCATTTGATTCTGTCAGGCGTGGTTTTATTCTCTGTTAAGGTGGCTCTATTTGTGCCTTGTCCTAGTCCTAAGGAGTGGTACTATTTTTTTTTTAAAAGAACTTACTTATTTATTTAATTCCATTTGTTATTATTATTATTTTTTTAATTTGACCAGACAGAGAGAGAAAGGGAAATCGAGAAAGCAAGCTGCCAAGTCCGCTCTCGAACTGTGGTCAGCCATGTGGGAATCCAGCGCCTTGAACCATCACACCACCTGCCAGCCCTGGGAGTGGGACTTTTTCTAGCACAGAGTTCAGCAGATTTTTTCCTGAACTCAGGCCACGTGACCTGAGGGAAAGAATATAAAAACCTTAGGCTTTTTTTGGCTATACAGTCTCTGTTTCAACTACTTAACTCTATCAGAGTGGTGCAAAAGCAAAATAGATGATATGTAATTAAATGCCCACCTTTGCTCTGAGAGTGCATGGATTTGTTTGTTTTTTAAAGTTTTTGCCATCAGGCATGTGTGCTTGTAGGAGAGAGACAGAGGGAAAGTGAGAAGTCATCCCCAGGAGGATGGCCATGCTGAAATCTTTTCTCCTCCATTCTCCTCTCAGGATTTTTGGCAGGCGTGCACATGTGCCCAACATAATTTTTTTTTTTTTTTTGAGAGGTTTTTGCTACAGGATGCGTGCAGACAGAGAGAGACAGAGAGACAGAAAACGAGAAATCACCCCCCGGGGGATGGCCACACCGCAATCCCTTCTCCTCCATTCTCCTCTCGGGATCTTGGACACACACGCACATGTGCCCGGCGTGAGTTTAAAGCCACCGGGTCCGGGACTTGGACCGAGTCAACTACGTGGGAGTCCAGCGACATAGCCATTACGCTAACTGCTGGCCGCATGTGCCCAGCATAATTTTCAAGCCGCTGGGTCTAAGGCTCAAACCACAGTCAGCTTCCCAATGCCTGGTCTTTCTGGCGATCTCAGTTTAATGCCTGAGGGGCTCACTGAGGTCAGTCTGCTCTGGTTGGGTTCAGACTTGAACTTCTCCCAGCACTGCAGCCTCTGAAATGTCTGTACAGCTCTTGCATGCAGCAGCTGCGTCTAGTAGACCTTGTGGGCTGTCACCTAGTGCTCAGATGCCTCTTTTCTAGTCTCCTGTCCCACAGACTCCACCTGCATCAGCAACCAGACCTCTGTTCTCCAGCTTCTTAGCCAAGCCGCCAGGTGCTGTGTTCTGCTTGGGCTCCTCCTCCCAGTGCCGCGGTCGGTAAGGGTCTTAGCCTGTTCCAACATTGCTAACAGAAATACCCGATATTGGGTGATTTTATAGAGAACTATAGGCTTATTCAATTCACAATTTAGAGGTCCAGGATGCAAGATTCAACCTCTGTTGAGGCTTCAACATAGCAGAGAGCAGGACCCCCAGCAGAGCAGATCATGGTCTGTATCCATGTGGCTCTGCTTGCTTCATTTCCTCTCTTTATATGCAAACCAGAACTCAGTCATAGAGGCCCTGCCCTAGCCACCCATCTCTAATCTCTTCACAAAGGCCCTGCTTTTTTTTTTTTTGGAGAGGTTTTTGCCATA